CTGTCTTCCCACTCAAAGGCCCCAGAGTCAGATCATGCTGATTCAAATTCTGGCTCAGTCTTTGATGGGTGGGTGTGTGGCCTTGAGTGAGTGATTTAACCTCTTTGAGCCTCGGTTTCCTCATCTGCAAAGTGGAGTCATAATAGCACCAGGCTTGAAGAGCAGTTGCAGGAATTAAATAAAACAAGAGAGGCAGACACGGTGGCTCACGCCTATAATCCCAGCATTTTGGGAGGCCGAGGTGGGTGGATCACGAGGTCAAGAGATCGAGACCATCCTGGTCAACAAGGTGAAACCCCGTCTCTACTAAAACTACAAAAATTAGCTGGGCATGGTGGTGCGCGCCTGTAGTCCCAGCTACTCGGGAGGCTGAGGGAGGAGAATTGCTTGAACCCAGGAGGCGGAGGTTGCGGTGAGCCAAGATCGTGCCATTGCACTCCAGTGTGGGTAACAACAGCGAAACTCCGTCTCAAAAATAAAAATAAAACAAGAGACTGCAGAGCTGTGAGGGGTGGAAGATCCTTAGGGAAGAAGAGACGATGAGAGTGAATGGTGGGCTTGGCCCAGCTTGGCTGGGTCTCTCCTTTCCCAACTCCCTCTTCCCTTGACACCCAATTCCACAGCCCTGTCTGGGAGAAGCAGGCTCTCACTCAGCACCCAGTCTCTACTCAGTGCTTCTCACATCCCATCTCCATTCTCATTTGATCGTCAAAAGAGCCCTTGGAGGAGAGTCTCTCTCTCTCTCTCTATTCCTTTTTTTTTTTTTTTTTTTTTGAGACAGGGTCTTGCTCTGTTGCCCAGGCTGGAGTGCAGTAGCTTGATCACTACTCACTGCAGCCTCAACCTCCTGGGCTCAAGCAATCCTCCCACCTTAGCCTCCCAAGTAGCTGGGACCACAGGCATGCACCACTATACCAAATTTTTTTTTTAAGACAGTGTCTCACTTTGTCCCCCAGACTGCAGTGCAGTAGTACGATCTTGGCTCACTGAAGCCTCAACCTCCCGGGTTCAAACGATCCTGCTGCCTCAGACGTCCAAGTAGCTGGGACTACAGCTGCACTACCACCATGCCCAGCTGATTTTTGTATTTTTTGTAGACATGAGGTTTCATCATGTTGCCCCAGCTGGTCTTGAGCTCCTGGGCTTACATGATCCTCCCGCCTGGGTCTCCCAAAGTGCTGGGATTGTAGGCATGAGCCACCTTGCCGGCTGGAGGGGGATTTTTTGTGATCCCCATTTTCCAGATAAGGAAACTGAGGCTTCAGTGGGAGATGGGGAGAAGCCTGTTCTCTCTGTTTTGTGGAAGCTGCCTGTCTCCTGCCCCTGCCTGAGCTCCTGCCCTGAGGCCGACTTGCTGTCTCCTCTTGGTCCTTCCTGTCTGCTGTGGCTCTTCTGCCTCCCCTCTGCTGTCTGGTCTCTCTGCCACCTGAGCGCCTATCGTGGGGAGGCTGCCCTCAACCCTGGCCCAGAATCATCAGTGGGTCTTTACCCCATACCTGCTGCCTACTTAGCATGAGGCCCCAGAGCTGCATGGTCACTTGGGTGGGAGGCCTGGCTGGCCAGAGCAGGCCCCAGCTCAGCTGCGTCTCCCTGGTAACCACCGTGAGCTGCATCTCCTCCTCCCCATCCTCCTCTTCCCTTCCTGCCCCTCCATGGCCTCCCAGCACTGGCTGTCACTGCCAAGCACAATACCAGGCCTGGGAAAACTGCGGTGGGGAGGCCAGGATCACCCTGCTTCCTAGAGAGAGAGAGGCAGGGCCTCTGTTCCCATCACCTGTCACCCCTCACCAGGTGGGGCAGGTGGCACTCTAGAAGTGCACTGCAGGGCACCTGGTGCTTCCCAGCTGTGTCATCTCGGGTAACTTCGCTGCCCCATCTTTTTTTGGTAACAGATTTACTGAGCTATCGTGCACATACCATAAAATTCACCTGCTTAGGGCGTTCAGTTCAGTTGTTTTTAGTACATTCACAGAGTTGTGCAGCCATCACTGCAGCCAATTATAGAACATTTTCATTCCCCAAAAAGAAACCCTCTTACCCACTGGCAGCTCTCCCTTCTTCTTCCTCCCCAGCCTTGGTGACCACCAGTCGACTTCCTATCTATGAGGATTTGCCTCAGAGATAGAATCATGCCGTCTGTGTTTTTTTGGGGGACTGGCTCCTTCTCTGTGACCTTGCAAACATTCTAGCATAATGTCTGCAGGGTTCATCTAGGGTGTAGCATGAATCGGTATTTCTTCTTTTCTTTTTCTTATGGCCAAGTGCTAGTCTACCATGTGGCTAGACCATCATTTATTATCCATTCATCTGCTGATGGTCGTGGGCTGTTTTCATGTGTCCGCTGCTGTGAATGAGCACTGGTGTGACCATTCATGAACCTTCATGTCCAAGTGTTTGTGTGGTTGCTTCTTTTTTTTTTTTTTTGGAGGCAGAGTCTCTCTTGGTCACCCGCAGTGGTGCAGTGGTGTGATCTCAGCTCACTGCAACCTCCGCCTCCCGGGTTGAAGTGATTCTCGTGCCTCAGCCTCATGAGTAGCTAGGACTACAGGCATATGCCACCACACCTAATTTTTTTTTTTTTTGAGATGGAGTCTCACTCTGTCACCCAGACTGGAGTGCAGTGATGTGATCTCAGCTCACTGCAACCTCCACCTCCTGGGTTCAAGCGATTCTTCTGTCTCAGCCTCCCAAGTAGCAGGGGTTACAAGCATGTGCCATCATACCCAGCCAATTTTTGTATTTTTTTTTTTTTTGAGATGGAGTTTCGCTGTTGTTACCCAGACTGGAGTGCAATGGCACGATCTCAGCTCACCGCAACCTCCGCCTCCTGGGTTCAAGCAATTCTCCTGCCTCAGCCTCCCGAGTAGCTGGGACTACAGGCGCGCACCACCATGCCCAGCAAATTTTTGTATTTTTAGTAGAGACGGGGTTTCACCTTATTGACAGGATGGTCTCGATCTCTTGACCTCGTGATCCACCTGCCTCGGCCTCCCAAAGTGCTGGGATTATAGGCGTGAGCCACTGTGCCTGGCCAATTTTTGTATTTTTAATAGAGATGGGTTTTCACCATGTTGACCAGGATGGTCTCAATCTCCTGACCTCAGGTAATCTACCCGCCTTGGCCTCCCAAAGTGTTGGCATTACAGGCGTGAGCTACCACACCCAGCCCAACTAATTTTTGTATTTTTAGTAGAGATGGGGTTTCACCATGTTGGCCAGGCTGGTCTCAAACTTGTGACTCAGCCTCCCAAAGTGCTGGGATTACAGGCATGGGCCACTGCACCCAGCCATGTGTGTGGTTGCTTCATGAAGCTTCCATTTTCTTCTCTCTAAAATAAGGGTGAAAAGCCTGGTTTGCCCTACCTCCTGGAGTGAGCTCAGACTGAAAAGCCCCACATCAGCCTTTTCAGAGTTGAGGGGCAATGAGGGGAGCCAAGCCTAAGGCTCTCCTACCCTCCTAGCTGGAGGGGGAGGGTTTTGGGAAGAGGGAGGATACTTCTTCACTTCCATCCCCAGGGATGGCAGAGCCAGCTCAGCATCTTGGCTCAGAAAAATTCCACTTGCTGTATAATCTTGAGCAGAGGCCAGAAGACCTGCTCCAATGGACTCCAGGACTCATCCAGGCCTGCCATGCAGTATGTTCAGGATTTTTGAGCTCTGGACTCCGAAGAAACCTTATAGGAAGCTGCTGGGTGATTTTCCTTCCTTGGGAACTCCAAGCTCTGGGGCAGGAGGGGTATGAAATGGAGGCCACAGGCCTGTAATCTTAGCACTTTGGGAGGCTGAGGCAGGTGGATTACCTGAGGTCAGGAGTTCAAGACCAGCCTGGCCAACATGGTAAAACCCCGTCTTTACTAAAAATACAAAAATTAGCCAGGTGTGGTGGCATGCACCTGTAATCCCAGCTATTTGGGAGGCTGAGGCAGGAGGATCACTTGAACCTAGGAGGCAGAAGTTGCAGTGAGCCAAGATCACACCATTGCACTCCAGCCTAGGTGACAAAGCAAGAGTCTGTCTCAAACAAACAAACAAACAACTACCTGATGTGGTGGTGCATGATTGTAGTTCCAGCTACATGGGAGGCTGAGGTGGGAGGATCGATTGAACCCAGGAGATGGAGGCTGCAGTGAGTCATGATCATATCAAAGTTCCCCAGCCTGGATGAGACCCTGTCTCAAAAAGCCCCATTTTACATAACAGAAAACAGAGTCAGAGGTTAAAAGTGTTCACCAATGGTCCAGACGAGTTGGCTCATGCCTATAATCCCAGCACTTTGGGAGGCCAAGGTGGACAGATCACCTGAGGTTGGGAGTTCAAGACCAGCCTGGCCAACATAGCAAAACCCTGTCTCTACTAAAAATACAAAAAAATTAGCCAGGCATGGTGGTGGGTGCCTGCAATCCCAGCTACTCAGGAGGCTGAGACAGGAGAATCACTTGAACCCAGGAGGTAGAGGCTGCGATGAGCTGAGATCACCATTGCACTCCAGCCTGGGCAACAAGAGCAAAACTCTCTCTGAAAAAAAAGAATGTTGATCTGGGCCAAAGCCATGTAGCCAGAAGATGAAGGATGCAGGATTCAAACCCAGGCCTGGGTCTGGAGCCCGCACTCCCGCCCACCATGTTGGAGCTGATATGTGACTTGGCTTGCTTAAGGTCACCAAGTCGTAGGTGACAAAGCTGAGATTTGAACCCAGATGTGTGACTCTGAAACAACTGACCCTTATGCCGAACCATATTCCAGACCATCACTGGCCACGCTACCGAGCCACCTCCCAGGCCCCTGGACTTAGAATTGAACTGCACACTGGAAGGACTTAGGGGTCATATGATCCCTAGTATTGTTTTTCTGGTGAGGACTCTGAGCCTCGATGGGGTTGTTTGTGCCTTGAAGTCACGCTGTGAGGATAGCAGGTGGGACCAGCCCTCCTGACTGTGGCCAGGGTCCAGGAGCAGCTCCCCTGGACTGGACTCACCTGTGCCTCTTTCTTCCTCTTCCAGACGGAGCCCGTGGCTGGTGAGGCCGCAGAGCAGGGCCAGGCCGGGCCCTGCCCGCAAGGACGCCCGAACCCCTCACCGGCCTCTGGGCCCCAGAGCCCACCAGGTTCTCCTGCTGGCCCCACCATGACTTCGGAGTCCACATCACCCCCAGTTGTGCCCCCGCTCCACTCCCCCAAGTCCCCAGTCTGGCCCACCTTCCCCTTCCACCGGGAGGGCAGCAGGGTCTGGGAGCGGGGTGGTGTCTCACCTAGGGACCTACCCAGCCCTCTGCCCACCAAGCGGACCAGGACCTATTCAGCGTGAGTATCTGCTCCTTGCCCAGACCCTTGACATTTGCCAGGACAGGGGCTGACCATCTCTATCCTCCTCCAACCCCTGTTGTCCTCACCAGGGACAGGAGAACTATGTGTGGACCTTCCAGTAACTGCAATGTTTGTCCCGTCCATCCATCCACCCATCCATCCATCCATCCAACCTCCTATTCATCCATCCATCCAACCAGCCACCCACCCACCCTTCCACCCTTCCATCTGTCCATCTAGCCAGCCAGCCAGCCAGCCAGCCGTTCACCCATCCACCCACCCTTCCATCCATCCATTCAGCCACTCAGCCAGCCAGCTGTTCATCCATCCATCCACCCGTCCTGTCCATCCATCCATCCATCTACCCACCCATCTATCCATCCACCCACCCATCCACCCATCCTTCCATCCATCCATCCACCCATCCTTCCACCCATTCATCCACCCATCCATCCATCCATCCATCCATCCACCCATCTATCCATCCATCCACCCATCTATCCATCTACCCATCTATCCTCCTGTTCACCCATCCATCAATCCATCCATCCACCCATCCATCCATCCATCCATCCACCCACCCACCCATCTATTCCACAAAGATTTACTGAGTTCCTGAGCGGGGGGATCCAGTGATGAATAAGACAATGCCCCAGCCCACAAGCTGCTTACAATCCAGAGGGGACTTGTTCGCCATCCATTACAACCCAGCAGGGTCAGGGGTGAGGACCCAGCATCGGGTATGAGAAGAGATGATGTCCTGGTTGGGTTTGGAAGATGTATCATGTGAAGAAGGGAGCTGGTGGTTCCAGGCAGATGGCACCACATGGGCAAAACCCAAGACATGGAGTTAACCTTTGGAGAGGGTGGGCTGGCGTGACAAAGACTAGCCCTGGACCTTTGAGGTAGATGACTGATGAGATCACATGGGGGAGTAATATGGGTCCATATGGAGGAAGCCAAAGGATCTTTTGAGAAAAACAGGGTCTTGCTCTGTCATCAAGGCTGGAGTGCAGTGGTGCAATCGTGGCTGACTGCAGCTGGGACTTCCTGGGCTTGAGCGATCCTTCCACTTCAGCCTCCTGTGTAGCTAGGACTACTGGCACATGCCACCAATCCTAGCTAATTATTTTTTTTTAATTTTTGGGCCAGATATGGTGGTTCATACCTATGATCCCAGCACTTTGGTGGGATTACACCAAAGATTGAGGCAGGCAGATCAGTTGAGGCCACGAGTTCAAGCCAGTCTGGCCAACATGGCCAAACACTGCAAAACCCTGTCTTTACTAAAAATGCCAAAAATTGAGTAACTTAAGCATATTCTAAGAGTGACAGCAAAAAAAAGAAAAAGAAAGAAATAAAAACAATTAGCCAGGCACGGTGGTAGTACCTGTCATCCCAGCTACTCAGGAGGCTGAGGCACGAGAATTACTTAAACCTGGGAGGCAGAGGTTGCAGTGAACTGAGATTGTGCTCCCTGCATTCCAGTCTGGGTGACAGAGCAAGACCTTGTCTAAAAAAAAAAAAAAATTTTTTTGTAGAGATGGGGGGGTCTCCCTATAAGACCCCCAGGCTAGTCTCAAACTCCTAGGACAAAGCAATTCTCCCGCTTCAGCCTCCAAAAGTGCTGGGATTACAGGTGTAAGCCACCTGCCTGGCCTCATTATCCTTGAATGGGGATCACTGTGTGGTTTCTGGCCTAGGGCAAGTTTCCCAGTCCGGAGGCAGGCTCAGCAGAAAGGGCTCAGGAAGGCTGTAGGGGTTGGGGAGGGATGACTCAGGCCACAGCTCCAATCCCACTACCCTCTCTCCAGGACAGCCCGTGCCTCAGCTGGCCCCGTGTTCAAGGGTGTTTGTAAGCAGTTCTCACGCGCTCAGGGCCATGGCTTCATCACCCCCGAGAACGGGTCCGAGGACATCTTTGTGCACGTGTCTGAGTGAGTCCCCTTCACCTCCCTGTTCCTGGCCCCTGCCCTAGCGTCCCCCACGGTGCCTCAAAAATGTGTCGCCCAGGCTGGAATGCAGTGGTGCATTCTCGGCTCACTGCAACCCCTTCCTTCCAAGTTCAAGCAATTCTCTGCCTCAGGCTCCCAAGAAGCTGGAATTACAGGCACCTGCCACCATGCCTGGATAATTTTTGTATTTTCAGTAGAGACAGGGTTTCACCATCTTGGCCAGGCTAGTCTTGAACTCCTGACCTTGTGATCCACCCACCTCATCCTCCCAAAGTGCTAGGATTACAGGCATGAGCCACCATACCTGGCCCTGAGGTCTGTTTTCTTGGCACCTTTTCTGTCCTCTGAGTAGGGGCTGCGGGTGCGTTTTGGGAGGAGAGCTGGGAGCAGGTGGTGAGTGGGCATGTGGACCCCAGAAGCCTGGGAGCCAGTGGCTGGGCCCTGGATCCTGTTCCAGCATCGTGGGGGCCTAAGAGGGCTGGGCCAGCTCCTGAGCCTCTCAACCTGGAAAAGGCCTTCAGGCAGGTAGGCCAGGAAGTAGAGATGGATGTCTAGGCCTGGTGCCACCCACTCCTAATGCCAAGAGGACCTGGGGAGGTCACTGAGCTTCTCAGAGCTTTAGGGACCCTCCTGCGCCCTTTCACATCCCAGTCCCGAAGGGACCCAGAAAGGGAAGTATAGCTTATGAGTCCCATTTTATTTTATTTTTTGAGACTCACTCTGTCACCCAGGCTGGAGTGCAATGGCACAATCTCAGCTCACTGCAACCTCCACCTCCTGGGTACAAACAATTCTGCCTCAGCCTCCCAAGTAGCTGGGACTACAGGCACAAGTCACCACACCTGGCTAATTTTTGTATTTTTAGTAGAGATGGGGTTTCGCCATGTTGGTGAGGCTGGTCTTAAAATACTGACCTCAGGTGATTTACCTGCCTCGGCCTCCCAAAGTACTGTGATTACAGGCATGAGCCATCGTGTCCATGATTCCCATTTTACAGATTTGGGAGCTGAGGTTCTGAGAAGCAAAGCCTGGCCAGGCTGTCCCTGAGGCCAGGCTGCAGGGCTGTTTGGGCCATAGGGCCTGCTGCTGGGCTGACACCCCCCTCTCCTGCCTGCCAGCATCGAGGGGGAGTACGTGCCGGTGGAGGGCGACGAGGTGACCTACAAGATGTGCCCCATCCCACCCAAGAACCAGAAGTTCCAGGCCGTGGAGGTGGTGCTCACTCAGCTGGCCCCCCACACTCCACATGAGACGTGGTCTGGCCAGGTCGTGGGCTCCTAGGCTGGGTGGCTCACAGGCCAGCTGGCCAGGGGGTGGGGAGCCACACAGGGTGAATGGGCAGCAGCCGGCTCCATGCCCCCTTGTCCCAGCTGATCAGTCCTTCAGTGGCCTCAGTGTGCACATCTGTCTGTCTGTCTGTCTGTCTGTGCTTGTGGCTGTGAGCGTGTGCCTCCACCCACCCCATGACCCGTGACTGCTGTGTGAGCTGGCCAGGAGATGGGTGGAGGGTGAGGCCACCAGACCTGGCTTCTCGCTGTCCACTGCCTCTCTCTTCCCCTCCCTGCCTCAGACATGCAGGACCCACTTGCCCTCCTGCCTACTCGTCCCCGTGGTGACTGAACCACGAGAGCCTTGCTCCCTTGGCCTCTGCCCCTGAGCCATCCAGTGTCAGTCCCTGGCCTGGGGCCAGGCTCTCTGTGCTATTCATGTCTCCCTCCCTGGGCTGAGGTCCCTCACCACGGCCTGGACCCTCCCTCAGGAGCCTGGCCGGTGGGTGCTTTTGGGGAGCCTCCCAGCCTCTGGCAGGGGAAGAGGCAGACACGGAGGCGTGTGGCCCTCTCACTGCTGAGGCCAGCCTTCCTTCCTGCTCTCCTCTCTCAGTGCACTGGAGAGGCAGGAAGAGGGGCCTGAGGGAGGAAGGGGTTTGGGACTCCCATTTTGCTGGCCAGTCCCTCCTCCTCAGCCTGGCAGTGGCTCTGGGCTCCTCCCCCTGGGCTGTGCTGAGTTGAGCCCAGGAGTCTGCAGAGGGCAGGGGTCCATCTCTGCAGCTTGGCTGCAGTCCTCCTTTCCCCTGACTCACAAGCCCCACTGATGCTCTGGGTCACGCCCGGCTGACGGTTGCTGAGGGCGCCACGATGATGGATGAACACACGTCCATCAGGCAGGGCCAGGCCCGGGCACCCATGAGGAGGGCCTTGGAGACAGGCCCTGTGGCCCCCACATCAGCCCTTCTTCCCAAGGCCCTGATAGACCAGCGGCTCAGGTGTGGCTCTTACCGCATTCATCCCTAAAGATGTACAGCTGTTGCTGTCACCTGGAGTCCTTTTGGGGCCAAGATGTGTGTGCACCCAAGCTGGTGGGCATTCACTCCCAAGCAGGGGTAAGGGTAGCCTGGCCAAGGAGGGCCCTGTCTGCCTCCACCTCTGGGCACACCCCTGCCCACCACCCTCCCTTCTAGAAAGCACATCGCCTGACGGGGGGAAGTGGGGCCGTGGTTCAAGGGAGAGCAGGCCAGGGTGAGTAACACTGGGGGCTCAAATGCCCAAGATGAGGGGATCAGTGACTGTTTAGGAGGATCCCTGGCCTTGTAGGTACCCCAAGACTCTAGGGTAGACATCAGCCGGGGTGCCTGCATCCTGCCCCTGCCCCCAGGGGCACAAAATCTGGGAGCCCAGAGCTGCAGAGGTGTGCTGGTCATCCCCCTAAAATAGGCATGGACCAACCTGTCCCATGAGGAACAAGGGCCCCTGGCCCCCTTGAGAGACGGCTTGTTGGTGGGGGTTGACTCCTCACCAACAAGGAGCCCTGAGGCTCCCCTCCTGTGGAGAAGCTGCCTTTTAAGGCACCACTAGCAGTCAGAATATGGTGGCATCAGCCCTGGGGCCACCTGGGTGGCAGGGGGCAGCAGCTCTCATCCCCACTCACAGGCCCTGCAGCGCCCCATATGGAATTCCTCCCAAGACCCCTGGCCACCTGGATCCCCATTCTTCCTAACACTGGCAATAAACCCTCAACTGTGACCCACTGTGGCCTGAAGCTGCCTCTGCGTCAGAGTCCCCAAGGAAAGGGCTGGGGGCAGACACACCAAACTTGCTCTTCTTTGGGTCTTCAATGGCCCCCTCCTTGACTGGATCAGAGACTTCTTGTGGACCTGGGCCAAGTCCCTGCCCTCTCTGTGCTGTTTACTTATCTGCAAAGTGGTGGCTGTGACAGTATGTGAATGGGGCCAATTATCCATTCAGACACAACTGACACCTACTTCATTCTGGGAACTTTAATACTGTGACAAAGTTGTCTAAAGTAGGCACCTTCCCCACCGTACCCCATTGCCCAGGGCAGGCAGGCAGGGCAGGCTAGACCTCGTACTGACACTTACGCATGCCTCTTCCCGGTGCAGAAAGAAACCTGTTCTGTACCGAATTACAAGCAGCAGCTGTGGCCTGGGCCGCCAGGTGGAGCACGGGGCACACTCTGGGCCCTGGGAGGACGGAGCCAATGCCACCAGGAGCTGACTGGCTGGGGACGTTGTCTGCACAGACTCTGGCCCCCATCTGGGTGGGCCTTGCAGCAGGCGTCCTGGGCCAGAGGAGGGGCCCCGGCATCTATCCAACAGCAGGACCTCTCTTTAGGCCTGGGCCAAACTTTTCAAAAGTCACGATGCACAGATGTGGGCCCCGGTCACGCCTCGTGGGCTGTCTCTGGGAAGAAAATCTCTCGGCATCGTTGCACTGTGTCCTGAGGAGAGACCACGCTGTGGCCGACAGTGCGGGGGTCAGCAAAGATCTCAAAATCGTTCCCACCCTGCACACAGGATGGGCAGAGAAGGCATACTTAGCGGGAGTCGCTTTCCACATCAGCTGCTATAGACCCGCCCCTCCTCCTGGCTCTTCAGAACTGCCAGGAAGCCCACCTTCTCAGCCCTCATCACCTTCCTGCCCTGACTTGCTGTGTGATGTGGGACAAGTGCCCGGCCCTCTGGAGGCCCCAGCCTTCCAATCTGTGTAATGGGGTTAGCGAGCACTGGTGGTTCTCCCGGAGCCCCCCGTACCAAGAGGTCTGTTGTGTTGCCCCATGTTCTGGCCTTGACCTCGGGTGATCTGCACTGGGGGAAACCTGGGCTGGGGCACACTCACAGGGCTGGTCTCATTCCCAAAGAAGTGGATGGTGTCGAAGCTGTCCTGGTCCAAGCTGTCCAGGCAGTAGCGCTTGTCCCAGCCCTCAGGGAAGACGTCAAAGCTGATCATACCTCCTGGGGGCAGGGGTGGGGACTGTTATTCCTTCCCGAGAGGGGCAGAAAAGGCTAGCAGAGGGGTTGCTCATTCATTCATTCATTCAACAACCCTCCCTCGAGTACCTACTGAGGGCCAGGATCAGGACATGGGACAGACTTAGGATCCTCAAGGAAAGTTACAACACAGGCTGGAGAACAAACAAGACCATGAAATGGGTGGGAGAAGCTCATCCAGCCAGGGTAGTCAGGGGAGACCTCTGAGGAGGTGACAATGAGCTGGGACCTGAGCCCAGTGGATGGCTAGGGAACAAAGCACAGCCCCTGAGGCAGGGAAAAGGACTAGAGTCCCAGCAATGGAGGATGCTGGGAGAGGCAGGGGGAGGGCTTGTAGGCCCTGGGCTTCACATGGAGAGGGAGGAATAGCCTTGGGAGGGCTTTGAGCAGAGGCACACCATGACTCCAGCTCCTGCCTCTCTGGCCACTGGGGAATGGGTGAGGTGTCATGGGGAGCCCAGCTGCGTCAGCGTCGGTTGGAGCCCGGGACGAGTTGCTGGCAGTGGAAGTGTGAGCACCAGTGGAATTCCAGACATGGGGCCCTGGGACTTCTAAGAGTTTGGAAGAGGCCAGGGAGAGCATTCAAGGGAGAAGCTTAAGTTTTTGGGCTGAGACACTGGGTAGGCATGAGGTGTTTACCACTGAGGTGGGGAAAACGGGGCCGGTAAACAGAGCCCCTTTTTGCCCCTCTGGTCAGCCAGCCCCTCTGCCCTGAGCAGGGGAGGGGCTCCTAAAGCCACTGGGGGCCACAGCCTGGTCTTGGGAGGAGCGGATGGTGCAAGGAGGGTCCCCTGCACAAGGCCTTCCAGTCCCTCTGCCAGGTGGACATACCTCGGGAGAACCTCAGCCCTTTGCCAGCAAACTCTGTTTTCAGGGCTTCCACGAACTTCTCCCGGATCTTCTCTTTCTGCAGAGGGGAGGGGGTGGATGGCAGCTCAGAGGACCTGCTGTGTGCCAGGCCCTGGCTGGACACACAATCCACGTGAGCTTGCTGAGCCTTCTAGGTGGGCAGGACCCCCTCACTGTGCAGATGAGGAAACTGAGGCTCAGAGAGGGGTCACGCCTTGGTCAAGGTCACCTAGCCTTGGTGGCCGAGCCAGGGCCCAAATCCAGAAGGGATTGGGCTACCAATGGGGCTGTGGGCTGGGACTTCTGAAGGGGGCCTTGGAGGAGAGAAACGAAGAGGAAGGCCGAGGAGACAGGGCAGTCTGGGTCCCATGTCAGTGCCCACCTCCAGGCACGGCTCCATCCTGTTGGCTGTGCCCAGCTCAATACAGCAAACACTCATTTCTGAGTGTGGGAGCTAAGAGCAAGAGAGTTGTGAAGAGGTGGCTGTGGGCATTCAGAGAGGGCAGGATGCCAGGCATGGCACAGCACCCACTGTGCAAAGACGTGGCTGGGCTAGGGGACTCAGTAGTGCCCAGGCCTGTCCCGTCCCTCTGAGAAGGCAATCTGGCAGGAGCTCTGCAAACATGGAGCAGGTGGACAGTCCCCCACCACCCCCTAGGGATCCCTCTAGGATCTCCATCTCAGAGGGTCACAAAGGGGAGTGGCCATCTCCATCCCAAGAGACGGCTGAATATCTAAACCAGCCAGTAGGACATTCAGTTACAGAGGGTCTCAAGACCAGGCTGGGAAGTCTGACCACATCCTGGGGGACCCAGAGGGGCTGAAGATTTTGGAGCACAGGAGTGGGGTGGCTGGTATGGCCCTGTAGTCAGAGCTGGGTAGGACTGAGGCAGAAAGGCAGACAGCGGTCAGCAGCATGGAGCCTGGAGAAAGGACCCAGGGAGGATGTCAGAATAAAGCCAGACACCCCCAGCCTGAGATCTGAAGGCAGGTAGCCAGGCTTGGCTGCTGTACTCAGCTGTGTAACCATGGGCAAGTCACCTGACCTCTCTGAGCCTATTTCCTGGACTAAAGGAGGAAGAAGTAATGAATGAACCCTGCCTGCTTCCCTCTCATGGAAAAGCAGAGATGAGGGATGTGAGCCCCCTGCCAGCCTTGGCCTGGCTTTCCAGCCAGTAGATGGACTCCAGAGAGGCCAGAGTCCCCACCAGCAGCCACTCTGTAGGCACAGGGCTACTGCTAAGGGTGCCCTAAGCTCTGAAGAAATGTTTCCACATGGCCAAGGCTCGCTGCACCTCCCTTCTCTAGAGAACAAGGCTGGTCACGGGACAGCCCCATGTGCAAGGCCAGCCTTGACAGGAACCGACCAGCACTGTGACCTTGAGCTGGTCACTCACCCTCTGGTCTCAGCATCCTCATCTAAGAACGGGAAGTACTCGTCCCTCCCTCAGGGTTCTGGAAGACTGGAGCTGGGTCAAGCATTTATACCAGATCTGGGCCAGTGCAGGGAGCACAGATCAGGAAGGTTCATGCCCCTCCAGTGCCAGAAGGGGGCAAACAGCCAAAAATACTTGAGAAGAACCAGGGCTTTGGGGTGGGGAGTTTGTGTGTGACTGACTCCCTAATCCCAAGCCAGGCTCGGTCCATGTGCCATCTCACATGACTCCCTATAGGATGGGAACTGCTATTACCCCCACTTTACACATAAGCAAACTGAGGCACTCAGTAGAAAAGCTGCTTTTCCAGGTTATGAGGCAAATGGGTAGAGCTGGGACTGGGAACCTGGGTGGACAAGGAGTCACCTCTCAGCATGTGTGTGTGGCAGGGGAGGGTTTCCTTGCCAATGACCAATCTTAACTCAAAAAAAGTCCCTGTAGTTGGGCTCAGTGGCTCCCATCTGTAATCCCAGCACTTTGGGAGGCCAAGGCAGGTGGATCACTTGAGACCAGGGGTTTGAGACCATTCTGGCCAACATGGTAAAACCAATCTCTACTAAAAATACAAATACTAGCTGGGCATGGTGGCATGAGCCTATAATCTCAGCTACTTGGGAGAGTGAGACAGGAGAATCGCTTGAACCTGGGAGGCAGAGGTTACCGTGAGCCGAGATTATGCTACTGCATTCCAGCCTGGGCAACAGAGTGAGACTCTGTCTTAAAAAAAAAAAAAAAAACTAAGCTGCAGAAATCCGTGCGCTGATCCCTGATAGAGCTTACAGTTCTGGGAAGGGGACAGAGAGTAATTCGGATTTTAAAAGCAGATGGTAGAAGATGGCCAAGGCTGCTTGGGGAGAAATAAGGGAGGGAAAGGAGCAAGAAGTGCAGGCCCCACGGAGGGATGAGCTGGGCCTGAGAGAAGTATGCTCTGGCTGAGGTACAGCCCTGAAGTGGGACATTGCTGTCTCTAGTATCAGCCAGGAGGCCATGGCTGGAGCAGAGGGCAGGAGAGCCGAGGAACAGGTCAGAGAGAATGACGGCATCATGTGGACAGGCCAGCGTGGAAAGGTTTGGATGGGTGGATTGATCCATCTCCGAGAGGGAGGAAGGCAGTAGGGAGAAAAGCAAAACGCACATCATGGTTTAGCAGGGGTAGCACAGGCAGAGGTGAGGGGACCTTTGTGTGTTCCAGGAATAGAAAGTGGAGCTTGAAGGACACAGAAAGGAGACACGGAGAGCTGGAGCCAGGCACTCAGGGCTTGGGGCACTATAGCAGAAGGTTAGGACACCATCCAGTTGGCAACGAGGAGCCATGGAAGGATTATAAGCAAGGGGGTGGGGCTAGGGGGTAGATGTGGCTGACGTGTTTGAAAGGTTCTCATGGGCCGGCACGGTGGCTCATGTAATCCCAGCACTTTGGGAGGCTGAGGCAGGCGGATCACCTGAGGTC